TGGGAAGTAAGATTTGGGTGAGTTTATGAGACTGGTGCCTCTATAATAGAATTACTGTCTTTATAAGTAGAGAAGAGAGGGGCACCTGGGTGGCTCAGTCAGTTAAGCATTCAGCTTCAGCTCAGTTCATAACCTCCCAGTTCATGAGTTAGAGCCCTGCATCAGGCTCTATGCTGACAGCTCAGACCTGGAGGCCACTTCGGATTCTCTGTCTCCCTCTCTCTCTGTCCTTCCCCCACTAGAATTCTGTCTTTCTCTCAAAAAAAAAAAAAAAAAACCTTAAAAAAATGTTTAAAAAAATAGAAGAGGAAGAGAAACCACATGAGGACACAGGAAGAAGGCAGCCATCTGCAAACCAGAGACAAGGTCATCATCAGGAACTGAATCTGCTGGCACTTTGATTTTCCAGAACTGTAGAAATAAATGCTTGTTGTTTAATCCATCTAATCTATTGCTGTTTTGTTTTGTTTTATAACAGCCAACCTCGCTAAGACAGGTGCAATGGAAATTCTTTAGAGAAAGGATAATCTTTCAACAATGATAAAGGACAGCCACATGCAAAAAAAGTGAACCTCAATGTTTACCTCCTACCACATAGAAAACTCAAAATGGATTAGCAGCCTAAGTGTAAGAATTAAAACTATAAAATGTCTAGGAGAAAACATAGGAGAAAAGTTTAGTGATACTGAGTTTGGTAAAGATGTCTTAAATACGACACAAAAGTTTTTAAATTGGACTTCATCAGAACTATTTTCTAATTTCTAATTAAGAGACGTGTATAGAAATGAACATATGATATATTTTTTTGGAGCCCTGTGGACACTTGGATTGTCATAAACTGGGAAAATTATTTGAAAAGACATATGACAATGTGCTTGTGTTTACACTATATAAACAAATCCTACAACTCAAGAAGGCAAGCAACCCAATTAAAAAATGGACAAAATATTTGTCTAGTCATTTTATCAAAGAAGATATTACGAAAGACAAACAAATGAAAAGATGATATCATTCATCATTAAAGAAATGCAAATTGCAATCGTAATGAGATACTACTCTTTACTGCTAGAGTGATTAAATTTAGAAAGACTGACCATACTAAATATTATAAGGAAGGTGCAAGAAATGGAAGAATTGGAACTCTCAGGTCCTGTTATTTAGGATGTAAAGACAACCACTTAAGAAACAGTTTACAGTTTCTTAAAGGCTAAGACATTTACTGTATAACTTAGCCATTCAACTTCTAGATATTTGTTTACCCAAGAGAAATGAAAGTTTATGCTCACTGAAAAACTGCATACAACACAAATACCCATCAGAACAAAGTGTGGTATACCCATTCAATGGAATGCTACTCAGCAATAAAAAGGAAGAGCAAGGGACACCTGGGTGGCTCAGTTGGTTGAGCGTCCGACTTCAGTGCAGGTCATGATCTAATGGCTCATGTATTGAAGCCCCATGTTGGGCTCTGTGTTGACATTTCAGAGCCTGGATCCTGCTTCAGATTCTGTGTTTCCCTCTTTCTCTGCCCCTGTCTTGCTCATGCTCTGTCTCTGTCTCTCAAAAATAAATAAACATTAAAAAAATTGTTTAAAGGAGCTAATGATATATACAACAATACAGATGTATCTAAAAGTAATTATGCCGAGTGAAAGACTTAAAAAGTATATATTGTGATATTCTATTTATATAAAATTTTTGCAAATGCAAGCTTATCTTTAGTAACAGCAAATAAATGATTGGGAACGGAGAGATGGGGAAGAAGGATGGATTGCAAAGTAGCAGGAGGAAACTTGTAGATAATGGATATGTTTATTAATTGTGATGGTCTCATGAGGGTCAAAGTAAATCGAAGCTCATCAAATTTTAAAGTTTAAATATGTGCAGTTTGTGTAAGTTCTACCTCAATGAGTCTATAAGCAAAAAAAGAGAAGAGGGAGAGGGGAAGAACAAGGGACAGAAGAACAAAGAGGAGAGGTAAAAGGAGGAGGAGATGTTGGGCATGAGGAAGAAGGGAAGGAGAGGGAGGAGAACAACAAATATAGTTCTAGTGGGAGGGTAGAAATGGATTGAAGGAGGAATTGACTAAAGCCAGGGAGAAACATTAATAACCTATTATATTAGTCCAGGAGAGAGAAGAGATGATTACTAAATCAGTGGAAATATCATCTTTTCCCATATTGATCAATAGTGTTAATAGCCTCATCTAGCTGGCAGTGCATGTGTCCCTGTGCATCATTCATTCACTCATTTAACATTTATTGAGTACCTTCTTTGTACTAGGTACAATTTTAAGCACTGAGAAGATAATAGTAAAGAAAACAGACAAGGTTACTGCACCCATGGGGCTTACTTTCTAGTCAGGGGAGGCAGGCAATAAAGAAATAAAACAAAAAAAGGTAATTCCATTTATTGATGTGTTACAAAAGAAAGAGTATAGAGAGTAATGCAAGGAGGAGGATGGATGGTTAATCTATGTTTTAATTCAGGGAAGATTATTTGTAGAGTAATAATAAAACTGAATTGTGAAAGACAAAGACCCCAAGGGGTAATAACTAAAGGTAGGCAAATCAAAGGTTGAGAGGACAAATAAAAATACTCTCTGATAGAAAGGCATTAGGCACATTTAATAAACAAAGGAAGGTGGAAGAGAGTAGAGTAGAATATGAGAGGGATGGCACAGTAAATAGTGACTAGAGGATATATGGCTTTGTAAGCCACATTAAGGAATTTGAATTTTATTATTAATGCAATAGGAAACCACTGGAAAGTTTTGAGCAAGGAAGTAACATGATATGATTTATTTTTTTGAAAGATTCTTCCACCTGATATATGGTGTCCAGTTGTGGGAGAGGGGGAAGAATGGAAATAGGGACACCAAGCAGGAGCCAGGCCATGCTAAAAAAAAATCGGTCAGAAATGAATTTGGGATTTTATTTTGGAGGCCCACTTTGCTGGCTTAGGCTCTGGTGGGTTAGAAAAAGGGATGAATCAAGAATGTCTTGTAGGTCTTGGGTATCTAGGTGTAAGGTGGTGCAATTTATTGAAATCAGGAAGGCTAGAGGAGGAACATGTTGGGTGTGTAGATTATTTTCTGAACATGTATGGTTGAGATGTCTATGGGGTATCCAAATAGAAATGTCAAGTGGGCATTTGAAATATCAGAGCTGGAGATTAAAAATAGAGGTTCCTCAGCATGTATTTTTCTCTTTCTTGTCTCTGCAAGGAAAAGCGTAACTTGTTCTGACTTTTTAATGCATTGCTTCTTCTCAAAATTATAAATTTATTTAAAGAGAATGACCATACTAGATAGAAAAAAAAGGATGGATGATGGTCTGCAGAGTTGTTTTGGTGGGAGAATCTAGAAAATTTGTTAACAGATATAGATTATAAGGAAAAGGAAAGAATTAGGGATGACTCCCAAAGTAGTACCATTAGTTAATTAGTTTGGGAATCCAGCTGTATGATAGTTTACAATTTTGGTTCCAATTCTTCATCCTTGTCTATATTCATACCTTTCACCATCATTATCATGGTATCATTACCATGGATGGGCATACTTCTACCCTTTGACTGTGAGTTGCATCATATGACTAGCTGGGATGTTAACAGATGTTATAAATAGAAGCTTGAAAAAGCTTTTCCATAATTCCACAAAAAACGATGCTTCCATTCTTTTGCATCTGCTATCATCATGAGAAGGAGAGCCTGGTCTGTCCCACTAGAGGATAAGATATATATGAAGAAAAGCCAAGACATCACAGCCAGCCCAGTCAGCCAAACCAAACCATCTTACAGCCAGTCGATTCCCAGACATTTGAGCAAATCTAACCAATGTCAGCATCTAGCCAATTCCAGCTGCTTCCTTTCATGTGAGCAATAATTATTTATTGTTGTATGTCACTGAGGTTTTGTGGTCCTGACAATAGATAAGTAATGCAAGGAAGAACATTATAGGAAGTGGAGAAAGATTAGTTTGATTTGGGGACATGGTTAATTTGAAACGGACAGTGGAATCTGGGTGTAGGACTTAACAACAACTTGCATTCTGTGAATCATTGGCATATATGTAGCTCTACATGCAAGTATGGATAAGATTACCCAAGGAATATACATAGAATAAGGGGAAATTATAATGGTTGCGCCCTGAGGTAGACCTATAATTGAAGGAACAACTGAGATTGAGAAGGAATGCTCAGGTACCTGAGGAGAACCAGAGAAGAATGGTGGTGTGAAAACAATGTTTTGAAAAGAAGGTGCTGGTGGGGCACCTGGGTGGCTCAGTCAGTTGAGCATCTGACTCCAACTCAGGTCATGATCTCAGGGTTCCTGAATTTAAGCCCCATATTGGGCTTACTGCTGTCAGCGCAGAGCCTGGTTTGGATCCTCTGTCTTCTCTCTCTGCCCCTCCACCACTTATGCTCTCTCAAAAAAAAAAAAAAAAAAAACATTAAAAAAGAATGTGATACTGGTGAGAAATGCCAACTGCCCCAGAGAGGTAAGGCAGACATCCTTATAGTCATTTATAAATGAATAAAGTAAGGGTTAGATTTATATAGGGCAATTAAGTTTGCTATATATGATTGTACCAACTAGTAAATGACAGTAAGGGCCCTAGAATCTAGATCTTTTGATTTTTAACCTAGGGCTTTTTCAATTTCATAATATTATCTTTCTTCAGTGTGTTCCTCTGATTCCATAAATATATTATTTAAATGATTGTAAAGTACCTTTTATATATAAAATGTTAACACAAATGATAAAATTTTAATATTTTGAATTAGATGAACATGAAAAAGTAAGAAATATATAACTCTGGGCTCACTCCAAGATTATCAGATGATTTGTTACTTATTGAATGGTTCTTTTTGTGTAACAATTTTTCAATATCTGATAAATACATATTTTTATGTTGTGATTTTACTACATGAATTATGGATCAAAACAATAGTATCCTTTTGAGTATCATAAATTAATAATAATATTGAAATATTTTACAGGATGAACTCCATGAGCTTGAAAAACAAATAGCATCTGTCTCTGCAGAAGCTAAAGAAACAGAAAGGCAAATTTATCATCAAGACGCTGCTATAGAGAATACCAAGCTTCAGTGTGGGAACCTGGAAACTCAGATCAAATCCTTACATACAGAAAATGTAAAGCTTAAATTTGACATAGAAGGAGCCCAAGAAGACTTTGAGGAACACATGATAAGATATAATGAATATTATGCAAAAATAAAAGAGCATAAAGATAGTTTGTGGGAGGTTGAAAGCAAAAGGTCATTCATGACTACACTCCATAAAAAACGAGATCTTGTTAAAAAACTAAAAACAATGAAAGAGGAACTTATGCAAAATCTCCAAAATCCAGAAGGAAACCACATAAAACAAGTACAGGTTTGAAATATCACTTATCAAAACTTTTTTTATTACTCCTTTTTTGCAAGCTCCCTTATTAAGTGATAAATTTATCATTAACTTAATAAAACACTCATAGCTACTTTAACTAGATTTAGAAACTATTTTCACAACTTCTGAAAACTTAAATACATAAGTTATATAACAACTATGCCAAATGTATAAATGCATAAAGGAACTGTTCTCAAATCCCCTGTGGATTAATAAAAATATAGAGTCAAACAGAATTGCAGTGAACAATTAATCCATTTGTTGCAGAAACTGGTGACTCACAAAAATGTTGAAGCCCTAGCTTAGACTAATGAATCCAACCAAATCAATATTCAAATCAATATAGTATGCTTAATGCTGTTATACAAACAGTATCAATTAATAATTGTACCTTAAGAATTTTTCTATTTTTATAGTATTTTTTGAAGATAGAGGGAGATATAAATTTAAAATATCTATCATTTCTTGCTAGAGAATTTAAAAGTATCCTTTACACTGTTGCTGGGCAATTGTCACTATGAATACCACTTTTTTTAAATGTCTTATCTACATTTAGTTTTAATTTTAAATTTTTAAATCAAAAGTTTATTCATTTGAATAACAGTTTTTTATTTTTGTACCTATAGAAGTAATATTCTAATCCTGTTTACCAAAATTAAATATGATGACTATTTTTTTTAATGATAGAAACATTGAAAATGTTGGACTTATGCTGCCCATTCATTGTTTGACTTGTATATTTTAAATTTTATAAACATGCAGGAAGACATTATAAAGCTCAAGGATAAAATTCTAACTATAAAAGAATCTATCATTGAAAAAACTTGTTTTCTTGAGGAAGAAGAAAAGACACATAAAAAATTAAGAAAAGAAATAGAGGTAAGTCTTAATTATGTGGATTTTGATGCTTTATGTTATCATTTCTTAAGGTTAAACTATATTTATAATTTCCATAGTTTACTCTCAATTCCTAAAACAGCTAGAGAACAAAAAGGAACTATAAAAAGTAGTAAAGTTTAAATCATTAGAGATAACTCTTTCATTAAGATAAATATGTGAAATGTATTCAAACAAAGCAAGCACTCATTCCTTTTTTTTTTTTTACAAATAGTTTATTGTCAAATTAGTTTCCACATAACACCCAGTGCTCATCCCCACAAGTGCCCTCCTCCATGCCCATCCCCCCTCCCCCCTACATCCATCAGTTCTCAGTTTTTGTCAGCATTCAAGAGTCTCTCATGGTTTTCCTCTCTCCCTTTCCCCCACCATTTCCCCCCTTCTTCTCCCCCTTGTTCCTCAGTTAAGTTCCTCCTAATCCTCCTATACATGCAAATATATGATATTTGTCCTTCTCTGCCTGACTTATTTCACTCAGCATAACACCCTCAAGGTCCATTCATGTTGCTCCACATGGCCAGATTTCATTCTTTCTCATTGCCATGTAGTATTCCATGGTATAGATAAACCACATCTTCTTGATCCATTCGTCCGTTGATGGACACTTAGGCTCTTTCCGTGTTTTGGCTATTGTTGAGAGTGCTGCTATGAACATTGGGGTACATGAGCAAGCACTCATTCCTATTAAAATGTGGCCTAGGAGGGTGCCTGGGTGGCTCAGTTGGTTAAGTGTTCCACTCTTGACTTTGGCTCAGGTTGTGATGTTACCATTTGTAAGTTTGAGTCCTGAATCTGGCTCTGCACTTACAGCACAGAGCCTGCTTGGGATTCTCTCTCTCCCTCTCTCTTTGCCCCTTCCCCACTTGTGTGCATGCATGTAAATAAAGATTTTTTAGAAAATTAAAATATTGCTGGGAATTATTCTAGGTCTCATTCCCTACAACTTCGTGCTCAATTAATAGCTAGAAAGCAGAGGCTATCTATCAAGTCAAAAAGGATGACCATTACTAGATAACCATCAGAAACTCCTTAAAACAGAGTAAAAGGCAATTGAAGTCATTAGTATCCAAAACCTTTCTGACTTCATACTTTCAATTATTAAGAATCAAATAAACTGATAATGCAAAATTGAAAGTGAAATTAAATTTGGGGTACCACTAGTAGATTTCTGTGACCATTATTGTTTAAATAAATGGAGAACAAAAATAGAAAAGAATATGTTGTTGAGGATAAATAAATAATTTTCACCCTAAGACATTAATTTGAAAACTAAAAAGATATGTTTGCTTGTGGCTAATTTAGCACAGTAAAAAAGCATCAGAGAATGTGAAGATAAAAATCTTCACCTTCACAAAACATTTTTCTAATAACTACCATTACTTTATCTTATATTTTACTAGTAATCTAAATAAATGGTTATTTTTTTACCTTCTAGATCAAGATTTATTATAAAACTAGAAATAGTAAGACACTATCCATGGCATCAAAGTAGAAGTACAATGATTAATGAAATAGAAAAAAGAATCCAGATATAATCCATCATAAATGGTACAAACAAAATAAGTTAGTCATGTGGGAAAATAAAGCAAATTTGGAAATAAAATTATATTTCTATCTTATAACACTTATAACTATGTTCAGGAAGATTCAATACAATATAGGAGACAAATGTAACCATTTGTGTCAGAAAAGTATTTCTTTTAAAAGACACACACAAACTGCATGATTAAATACTGCTTTTCACAGTATCATAAATTTCTAGATTATTAAAATGGACCACAATAAAGAAGAAAAGACTCATAGAATGTATTTGTGATATTTACAAGTGACTAAGAGATAAGATGTCAAACAAGCCAGTAGAACACTGCATAAGTGATATGAAAAGTCTTATTTTTTGAAACATGAATATCCAAAAAACACTGGAAAAACTGACAAACCTAATTAACAATAATGGGTTGATAATTAAAACCACAATGAGGTTCCATATTTAGCCCCTCTGATTATCAATATAACAGTTGGTAATATATAGAGCACCTGAATTTTGATATACTTTTGGTATGAGTATAAATTGGTAAAAAGCATTTTGGAAAGGAATTTGAGGTTACCTAGCAATTTTTAACTCTAATATTCTTTATTGAGGTATAGTAGTTGTAACAGTAAGTACACAAATTAAAAGGTTTAGCTTGATTAATTTTGACTAAGGTATATATTTACACCTGTATTACCATCACCTAGATCAAGATAGAAAATTTACCCATTTTGCCTATGAAGTTCTTTTGTGCTCATTTTCCCAGGATACACTATTCTGGTTTTTAAAAATAACTTTGTTGAGATATAACTCACATACCATATAGTTCATCCATTGAAAGTACATAATTCAATGGTTTTTGGTTTATTTATCCATAATTTTTAACCATTACCACAGTTAATTTTAGAAATTTTGATCATCTCAAAAAGAAAACTTCATACCCTTTAGCTGTGTTCTCTCCATTTGTCAATTGTGTTTACCTATATTTTTGCTCTATCATATTCTTCCTTCCTACCTGATGCTCTAAAATTCCTTCTTTTATTATTTCCTTTCTCTTTAGAAAAATAAATTCATTATTTTAGGATAGGTGTACTGGTGACAAAGTGTTTTAGTTTTTTCCATCTGAGAATATCTTGATTTCCCCTTCACTCCTGAAGGATATTTTTGATGCATATAGAAGTCTGGGTTGACAGTTCTTGCCACATTTGAAAAATGCTGTGCCACACAAGGGGGAGAAGAAGGACGGAAATGGTGGGGGAAAGGGAGAGAGGCAAACCATGAGAGACTCTTGAATGCTGACAAAAACTGAGGACTGATGGATGTGGGGGAGAGGGGGGATGGGCATGGAGGAGGGCACTTTGGGGATGAGCACTGAGTGTTATGTGGAAACTAATTTGACAATAAACTATTTGTAAAAAAAAAAAAAAAAAAAAAGAAAGAAAGAAAAATGCTGTGCCACTTCTTTCTGACTTCCATGATTTCTGATGAAAAAATCTTCTGTCGTCCAAATTGATTTTCTCCCTATAGATGAGGTGTTCATTTTTAAATTGAAGTCAGATTAACATACAGACTCCATCACATCACATCACATCACATCACATCACATCATCATTTTGGGCATACAATATATCAATTTTATACATTACTCAGTGCTCATCACAATAATTGTATTCCTAATCCCCTTCACCTACTTTACCCATTCTCCCATCCAACCTCCCCTCTGGCAACCACCCATTTGTTCTCTGTCTATGAACAATACAGAATTTAGCAATATATTTTAAATAACATTCTTCTCAAAGTAGGGTAGCAACCATTTGATTTTCAAAACCTGTCTCAAATAGCACATGACTCCTTCACTTTTCTATGTGTGTACCACATTCTTTACAAACCCCCCTCTAATGATATATGTCCTCATGAACTTTCATTCTAGTTGGAGAGACAGACATAAACAACATATTTAAGTAAACTATATGGCATGTTAGCTAAAGATAGGATTAAGGACAAAAAAAATGAAGCAGAGAAGGGAATATGTAATATATGTGGCGTAGGGAGAGAGGGTGAAATATTAGATTTATAGCCATCAAAAGCTGCACTGAGAAGGTCTCTTTCAGCAAAATCCTGAAAGAAGTGAAGGAGCGAAGCATGCAGATCTGAGGAATAGCTTTCCAAGAAAAAGAAAAAGTGCAAAGGTCTTAAGATGAGACCATTTCAGGGCTAAGAGATTAGAAGAGCAGTGCGGCTAGAGTGGAGGGGAGGAAGAAAACAGTAGTGGATGAGATCAGATTTGCCTTGTACAGCGCCTTGTTTTCTTTTTGCCACTGTGTTTTGTGACCACCACCTCTCCTTCGTTATTGCTTGTTCCTGTCTAGCCAGCAACAGTAACTTAATGAGAGTAGTAGCCCATCCACTTGCTAGAAGCAAAAAGTTACATTCTGTACAGAACCATTTACATCCTTAGCTGCCTACAGATAATCAAATTTGAACATTAAGACACATCTCAAAGTATGAATGCTACCAATAGAGGCTGAACAAATGTCTGGCTTTCAAGAAGGCTCACAATGTGAACTTTGCCTTTACAAAGTCGCTTCTCTCTCTCTCTCTCTCTCTCTCTCTCTCTCTCTTCCCTTTGCTAGTTTGTTGTATGTGTGGGAGGGGTTGTTGTTTGTTTGATTTTTAGTTTCAAGTTTTTATTTAAATTCTGGTTAGTTACCAGAGGGAAATGGGTAGGGGAACAGGTGAAATAGGTGATGGGGATTAAGGAGCGCATCTGTCATGGTGAGCACTGGGTGATGTATGGAATTGATGAATTACTATATTGTACACCTGAAACTAATATAACATTGTATGTTAACTAGCTGGAATTAAAATAAGACAAATGAAATACTGGCATGTAAAAAAGAAAAAAATAAAGTCACTTCTTGGCCAAAACTGTCTTTTAACCTTGCGAGCTTAGAAACTTGTCAGTATCCCAGAATTGCTTAGACATAGAGAGATGCTAGTAAAGTTTACAAGAAACTGGTGTATAAAATTCAAATACCAGTTTATTAATTTACAATAATAAAACTCCCAAGGAAACCAGATAACTTAACGTCAGTCATTAGTGCTTCTCCCTGTAAGGAAACTACATTGGAAGCCAGAGATTGGTTAGTGAGCATGGGAATCAAGTCAGTCATCTGAATTTGAATGTTCTTGTCCTCTGGCTCTGGGTGCTCAAGGAGCCAATCTCCATAACACGGTTGGTTGCACTTGTCAGATAACAGTCCCTACCAGCACATGACTCCTTCACTTTCCTATGTGTGTGCCACATTCTTCACAAAACCTCTTCTAATGATATATTCTTCCTTTAGCTGTATTAATACCTTTTGTGACATCTAGCTATTACTGGTGATCTGGAGTCCCACTAAGAGCACTTTGCACTTCTCTACTCTGATCCATTGTGTATTAGTTTCATAGCTTACTACTGAAGAATAATTTTAGAAGCATGCTAGTATGCAACTGACCAAATTTATTGATTAACCAAAAATTTATTTCAGTTATTTTATTTCTATGAATATATTCTATGAACAGGAGTATGGTCACATTCGGTGACTATACTCTCCTATTGAATATATTCTATTGAATATACCAATAGATATGATATATAAATATATATAGTGGGTATACATATTTCTACATAGAAAGATAGATATAAATATATATCCCCTTAAATATATTCAGTTTATAAAAATCTTTTTGAATATAGTTTCATATCTAATATATTTTAGTTTATATTATTTCTAATCCTTTTCAAGTCATTTTTTATTTTGTCAACATATTAGCAAGACCAGTACACCAGTTTCAATGAATTATCTGAACTTACAGAATTAACAAAAACTGAAAACTTAGAATGACATAAAGTTTATAAGACTTTATGTGAAGTGTTAGTTGACAAGTTTTCACTTTGTCTCATAGTAGTTTTGGAATGCTTCGGTGTTCTGTCCCCATTCTCCTGATGTTGTTGCAGTGCTGTGTTTCAATATAAATTTTTTTTTGTAATCATGTATGTCTTATTTTATGCATTAAAAACATTATTCTTAGGGATCCATAGTCTTCACCATACTGTCAAAAGGACCCATGTCATAATAATGGTGTAGAAGATCTGAACTAAGGGAGGACCCTGGAAAGAGAGTGAGTAAGCTTTCATGGGGGAAAAGCAGAGAGGAGATTCAGGACATGTACTCTTGTTTTAACAGGTACAGCATAAGAGATACAGTGCAATTCTTAAGCGTTTGCATTGTCAAGTGAACAAGCTCCAGTCAAATAGAAGACAATGGCAATGGAACATTCAACAACTGGAAAAAACTGCAGCTGAACTAAGAAAATGCATTGGACTGAAATATTAACATGGCTAAAGGGCAATGTAGAACACAGACTATGCCAACAAAAATGAGAAAATTTTTTGGATTCTTAATAACCAGCATCTACTATCAAAGGTCTGTCTTAATAACAGATGTATTCTTTCTCTCTCTTTTTTTTTTTTTTTTTGAATCAGTTACTTGTTTGCTAAAGTGCCTTCCAAGCCTACAACTGATACCAGTAGATAGACAATAGGAATGCTTAGATAAGAATAGTGGAAGACTCTATATAAACACTTAACTGTATAAGATACAATGTACTCATGAATACTTGCTTTATAAACGTGTTGCCTGCACTATCATATGAAGCAAAAATTTAGAAGGAAAGAAACACTTGAAGTTATAATGACTTAAATTGTTAAGATATTTTAAATGATTGTTTGTTTCAAACATTTTATTAAAACTTGCTTTTTTACCACTGCCTTCACAGTAGTCCATAAATATTGACATTTACAGTAATGTTGCTATATGTTCAGTGCTTCAGGTATTTTACTCAGTTTCTTTTTTTTTTTTTTATAAATAGTTTATTGTCAGGTTGGTTTCCATATAACACCCAGTGCTCATCCCCACAAGTGCCCCCCTCCATGCCCATCACCCTCCCTCCCCCCCCACACCCATCAGTCCTCAGTTTGTTCTCAGAATTCAAGAGTCTTTCATAGTTTGCCTCTCTCCCTCTCCCCCACCATTTCCCCCCTTTTTCTCCCCCATGGTCCTCCGTTAAGTTCCTCCTAATCCTCCTATATGTGCAAACATATGGTATTTGTCCTTCTCTGCCTGACTTATTTCGCTCAGCATAACACCCTCAAGGTCCATCCATGTTGCTCCACATGGCCAGATTTCATTCTTTCTCATTGCCATGTAGTATTCCATCGTATAGATAAACCACATCTTCTTGATCCATTCGTCCTTTGATGGACACTTTGGCTCTTTTCATTTTTTGGCTTTTGTTGAGAGTGCTGCTATGAACATTGGGGTTCATGTGTTCCTTTGCATCAGCACTCCTATATCCCTTGGGTAAATTCCTAGCAGTGCTATTGCTGGGTCATAGGGGAGTTCTATTGTTAACTTTTTGAGGAAGCTCCACACCGTTTTCCAGAGGGGCTGCACCATTCCCACCAACAGTGTAGGAGGGTGCCCGTTTCTCCACATCCTCGCCAGCATCTAGAATCCTCTGATTTGCTCAGTTTTTTTCTTCTGAAGGTAGCAATTATTTTCTTTGCTATTAGATAATATAATTTTAGAGTGTTCCAATGCATAAAATTTTTGGTTTACTTTTCTGTCTGTAAATTCGTTAGTAATATTCTACGATGAAATTGATGTTATACCATCGTGCAAGGCAAATATGAGCTCTTAGAAAAGAAAGTTAACCAGCATACACTACCATTTATTTTTTCTCTCTGAAAATCATATACCATGTCCATGGCAACATTTCAAAATTTAACTTGTCCATATTAAGATAAAATTGCTCCATCTTATGGCTCCATTGAATCAAATTTTTTGGAACAGAAAAAATATTGAAGATAATGGTTTTTAAATATTTACTTTTAGGATTTAATTCTTTCAAAACAACATCAAAAAGGTATCTCAAGTCCATTTTCTCCTCACCTTTCTTTGTGCCTAAGACTAAGTAAGAGGATAGCTGATATAAAACCAGATATTAATAATCTTGTTATGTCTAACATTAATAATCCTATTATGAATTAGCATGGCTTATTATGGCTAACACATCAAATATCTTAATTGTAATACAGTCAGCTTTGGTGTGTGACTCAGAAATTAGACTAAAAATGGTTAAACCTGCAGACTGTAGAGAGTATCCACTATGTTCAGTGGAAGACAAGGCTGAAACAAAGGCTGATTATATAAAACTATTTCAGTGTAATTTGCATATTTAAATAGTTATTGTTTTAACTATACTTCGTAATTTTATTTACAGTTTATAAAAGAAAATTTCTAGCTTTCTAAACTTTTTAAGCTTATAATAGATTTCAAAATATTTGTATGTGATAGCTAGACACTTTGAGTTAGATTTGTGAAGTTATTTTTAAATTAAGATAGAATGAAAATAGGTTTAATCTGCTTAAGATAATGTGTTCTTTTAAGAAACTAGTTTTCAATGTAGTTTTCTGAAATACCCATGATAATAACAGATGTACCTATTTTAAATTTTGTGACAGATGAAAAAATTATTTGAAAGAGATTTTCTTTCTTTGCTCTTTCTAATCTTGAAAATCATTTTAGATGATGGAGGCTTTCAGATTAACCAAGAAGAACTAAAGCTTGAGGTGTCCTCAAGCCTAATCATATAGTTAGTGGACATGCTATCTCAACATAGTCATAAGCTCTAAAGTTAGAAAACGAATTTTTAAAAAATTTTTATAGCTTAACCTAGCCTAGAATATGAGCTTTTCTGCTTAATGGCTTTTGTCACATACACTTTTTGCCTTACAGCTCAGTCTCTTTTGAGTAATCATTCAGTTCAAAATTCTCCTTTAAATTCCTGGAGCAGGGGATGGGTGGTACACTTACATTGTTTGTTACCAGGGAAGGGTCCTGGTCCAAGTGCCGTTCTCACTGGCCTCTGCAGAGCTGTAACCCATCTTCTTGGTCTTGAGCAGTAGACCTTTTGTCTATGCCACACCTGCGGTTGTTTTCTCTAGTCAATGTGGTCAGCCTCCTCAGCCAATCACAAGGCCTCTTCTGCTCTTACTTACTTCTCTTTTTCTGTATGTAGGACAAATTTTACCTCTTTGGGGACTGTTATTCTACTCATGCATTCTTCCTTACTCTTTGATTCCTGGTATAAAATGAGTCTTTTAAATCTCTCAGTGCTTTGGAGCTCAGCAAATTTTTCTCTCAAAATGCCCCATGTTCTGCAAAGGAAAGCTATGATTTCAACACTATTGTGTCTACCGTGGACTCTTCAAAAAGCCTAATGTGAAGCTCAAAGCTGATAAATGACTTCTAAATTCTGAGTAGTTCTGTCCTGACTCCAGCCTGCTAAGTTCTATTATCTAAATGATCTAAAGTGATCAGGTAACTAGTACCAGGAAGCAGTGGGAAGAAAAAAACCTACAGTTAATGTCAAAATATTACTTACTACATGTGCAATCTGTAGACATATAGTTGACCAATGTGAAGAAATTATTATCTAATTTTAAGCCATATATTAATAGTGGTGGTTTCCATTGTCAAAGCACTTTCATGGACGGTATAAATCATCTATATGTTATTTGTTAGGTCATGTCCTTCTAGTCAATTGATTAAACATGCTATTTTCTAAAAGGCTGAGGATATGAAATAGCAAAATAATAACATAATAGACTGAGCAACTATGCAATGTCCTATTTGGCAATTTGTATATATTAGTTCATTTAATCTTCAGAATAATGAGAATAATGGCTTAAAGTATATACCATTGTCCTTGATTTGTAGATGGGGAAACTGAGTCTTAGTGACTTGCTTAAGATCTTATCACACAGTTCATCAGGGGCAGAGTTGAAATTCATTGCCTTATTTTTTTTTTTAGCTACATAAAATATCCTGCAAGGAATTATCCCAAAGCAAGCCTCAATGTACAATTCTATTATTAGTTAAATATTAATTTATTTGCATATTTAATTGATTCTCTTATTAAATTACAAGGCATAAGACAAATTTAACTAAAGGGAGAAATCTTATAGTTAAAAAAAAGGGTTCCACATATAGGTCACCACACTGTCCTAACAAGTGAAAAGTTGATAGGCTTAAAAATTAATCTCTTCTTGGATGCTAAGAGGTGAGGACACAAGGGAAACCACTGTCTCCAAAGGTAGAGAGACAGGGAGGCAAATACAGGGACCAGAGCAGAGACTCTCAAAACACTATAGGAAAGAGTGTCAGGACAGGAAAACCTATCTGTAATTGATAAATTTCTGGAGTCTTGGTGTAGACAACCTAAGAGTTAAAAACTCCAAGGGAACCCAGTCAGAAGTAGGTCCCCACAATATTGTGAAATTTAGCTCCAGATAAGAATTACAACTGACTTCTCCTCAGGAACCATGCAGGCAAGAAGATAGTGTTGAGATAATATTTAAACTGTTGAGAGAATAAAATCCACCAACCTAGAATTCTGTACCCTGTGAAATTATCCTTCAGAAGCGAAGAAAAGATAAATACTCTCAGACAAATTGAGGGAATTTATTGCTATATGTTACTTCACAGGAAATGTTAAAATTCTTTAGAGAAATCAAAAATAATATAGGTCAGCAACTTGAATCTGCATAAAGTAAGGAGGAGTATCAAAGAAGGAATAAGCAAAGGTAAAAGAAAAATTTTTACTTTTCTTATTCTTTTTTAAAAATTTTAGTTAGCCAACATACCTGGCAATACTGGTTTCAGGAGTAGAATTCAGTGATTTGTCACTTACATACATCATCCAGTGCTCATCACAAAAAGTACCCTCCTTAATACCCATCACCCAAGTAGCCCATTCCCCACCCACCTAACTCCATCAACCCTCAGTTTGTTCTGTATCATTAAGAGTCTCTTGTGGTTTGTTTCCCTCTCTCCTTTCTTCCTGCTTGCCTTATGTTCATCTATTTTGCTTCTTAAATTCCACATATGAGTGAAATCATATGGTATTTATCTTTCTCTGCTTGACTCTATTGCTTAGCATAATATCTTCTAGCTCCACCTATGTCATTGCAAATGGCAAGATTTCATTCTTTTTGATAGTTGAGTAATATTCCATTGTATATGTATACCACATCTTCTTTATCCATTTATCAGTCAATGGACATTTGTGTTCTCTCCACAGTTTGGCTATTATTGATAATGCTGCTATGAACTTTGCAGTACATATACACCTTTACATCTATATTTTTGTATCCTTTTGGTAAATATCTAATAGTGCAATTGCTGGACTCTAGGGTAGTTCTATTTTTAGTTTTTTGAGGAACCTCCATACAGTTTTACAGAGTGGCTATACCAGTTTGCTTTCCCAAGAACAAGTGCAAAAACGGTCCCCTTCTCAGCATCCTTACCAACCCCTACTATTTCCTGAGTTGTTAATTTTAGCCATTCTGGCTGGTGGGAGGTGGTATCTCACTGTGGTTTTGGTTTGTATTTCCTTGACAATGAGTGATGTTGAGCATCTTTTCATGTGTCTGTTAGCCATCTGGATGTCTTCTTTGGAAAAGTGTCTATTCATGTCTTCTGCTCATTTCTTCACTGGATTATTTGGAGTTTTGGGGGGCTGGTGAGTTGATAAGGTTTTTTACAGATTTTGGATACCAATCCTTTATCAGATACGTTGTTTGCAAATAACTCCTCCCATTCCATAGGCTGCCTTTTCATTTTGTTGATTGTTTCCTTCACTGTGCAGAAGTCCCAGTATATAATGTTTGCTTTTGTTTCCCTTACCTCTGGTGTATT